TGTGAAAGTTTGGCAGACCCCTTCCTCGTTGTCATGTTCACGCAATCGGTATATCCCCCTGCTGCAATGGCCTTGAGTCCTGGTTTCGGAGGCCCAAATCTTGCAAGCCAGGGGTGAGGTGACCTTACGCAGTTTGCACGAAGTGACCATTTCAAACGCTGATGGCGATTTCAACTTAATGAGTCGATCATCTGATTTCAGCAGTGGCTCCAGTGAATGCATTCGATAAGAACCTCAGAAGAGCCCTGCTGGATTAGACCAGGGAGGGTCCATCTAGTCCAGCATCCTGTCTCACACTGTGGCCCACCAGTTCCTCTGGTGGGCCAACAACAGGGCAGAGAGGCTGAGGCCTTCATAAGAACATTGGATGAGCCCTGCTGGATCATCAGACCAGGGAGGGTCCATCTAGTCCAGCATCCTGTCTCACACAGGAGCCAGCCAGTTCCTCTGGAGGGCCAACAACAGGGCAGAGAGGCCGAGGCCTTCCCCTGATAAGGACACCAGAAGAGCCCTGCTGGGCCAGACCAGGGAGGGTCCCTCCAGTCCAGCCTCCCATTTCACGCAGGGGCCAGCCAGTTCCTCTGGAGGGTCAACAAACAGGGCAGAGAGACCGAGGCCTTCCCCTGATAAGAAAATCATAAGAGCCCTGCTGGGTCAGACCAGTGAGGGTCCATCCAGTCCAGCATCCTGTCTCACACTGTAGCCAGCCAGTTCCTCTGGAGGGCCAACCACAGGGCAGAGTGGCCGAGGCCTTCATAAGACCTTCAGAACAGCCCTGCTGGGCCAGACCAGGGAGGGTCCATCCAGTCCAGCCTCCCGTCTCACGCAGGGGCCAACGGGTTCCTCTGGAGGCCTAACAGCAGGGCAGAGAGGCCAAGGCCTTCATAAGAACCTCAGAAGAGACCTGGTGGATCAGACCAGTGGTCCATCTAGTCCAGCATCTTGTCTAACACAAGGGCCAACCAGTTTAGTTGAATTTTTGTTCACAGGACTCCACAGCTTAGAGGGAACGTTGGTTGCTGGGTGGATGGACCAAAGTGCTGACAGACTGGGGGTGGGGTGGGGTGGGTGGCTGGGAAACATCAAAAGGGACTGCTGGGATTACAGGTGGTGGTCGGGTTAG